CTGACTTTCATTGAAAAGAATATATATGAAAGAAAAACGAACAAGCCCACAAAAGAGAGCATGCTAGATGAAGGGCCTCCAGTCTAACAAAGAAGACAGAAATGGCACCTCGCATTCGAAAGTACTTGGAAAAAGATAGTAACTAGACTCGGCGACTAAGGGGTTCTTTGCCATTTAAACAGTCCCGCGTCCAAGCTGAAGTCCCAAAACCCACATCTAGTCAATCAAGTTCGGGTCACGAAGCTTACACTCATTCACATTCCTCTCTTAGCTCCACTACATTCTTCTACCACCAATTTTCTTCCATGCCCTCTCTTTACCATCTTCGTCATTTTCTCCATCTAGACTGCCTCTTTTTGGCCATGAGTTACGGCAATGTAGACCAAGGAATAACACTGACATTAAGTTCCTTTTTAACATATTCTTTGAACTTCAAAAGTGAACCTATGAAAAAACGAAACAGTTTAGGACAAACATTCATGTTACCTGACTAACGTGAGAACGAGCAACTCGAGGAAGAGGGGATTGCCTTAACTTCTCGATAGAGCTAAAGTTACCATCCAGACATTCCTCATGCATGACAATCAATCTTTCAGCTACCTGCATTATTAGGAAGCAACACAAGAAACAAAAATCCATTAATAAGAGTAACGACTCAATTCTTGAAGGAGCTACAAGATAGGAACACATTTCACTTTTCAGAAGTGATTTTAAACACAAGATAATACATCATTGACCTCGTTCAACTTTTACCCCATCCTGTTTTTTTCTCCATATGTTTCTTTCCGGTATCGTATTCTTCTACTTCAACCAAGCATTCTAATAAAAGAGGAAGAGGGAAACAAGGAGAATGAGTATAACAGCCCAAGCCCACCGCTAGCAGATATTATTCTCTTTGGACCTTCCCTTTCGGGATTCCCCTTGAGGATTTTAAAATGCGTCTACTAGGGAGAGGTTTGCACACCCTTATAAAGAATGCTTCGTTCTCCTCCCCAACCAATGCATGGAACCGGTAAATAATGCAACCAGACAAATCTATTTGAAATCATGAACTTCTCAAGTATCTTTCCAGTTAGCTCTGGCAGAAAATTGAAAATGATTACAAAGAAAAGAAATTCACTTTTAACGTAGATGTAACAAGTTGTTAGATTCAAAAATTAATGAACTACATAAGGTTTCACTACGAAGGTATCATACAATCACCACCATCTACCGATCAATATCTTCAGAAGTCACAACCAAAACAATGAATAGCTACAAGTTCAATAATATCTCTAAGGATTCCAACCAAAAGCATTGTGCAATTGTGACTAAGAGGTGGAGGCAAATGTGTCATAATCTCTCTTAAGAACTCCATTCTAGCAAGTCACATTGAGAATCATCCGGAGACAATTTGGGTAGAAAAAACACCCATCAACAGTAGTTAGTCATTTGTAAACAACTAAACTCAATATACAATAAATTTATTTGATTAAGTAAATGAATTTCAACTAGACTCAAGCAAAAAAATTGTATTAACTAGGTCTTAAGTATGAGGAAAGGGGCTTTCCACAAAGACTAACAAGAATTAAGGGTATAAAATATACCTCCTCAATGCTACCATCATCAACCTGAGTATTCAACGAAAGCAAAGCTTCATCAAGAATCATTTCTAAATCATCAATATATAGTGGCTCTGCAAGATAAAAACTATAACTCTCTCAGATCAAAATAAAAAAAATGAAGTATTCTAATGGGAAACTATAAACGTCTTGCTTACATGGTATCAAGTTCCACTACGACCTAAGTGAATATCAGACAAAATACAAGCTAGAAACTATATTTCTGGATTTTTTTTACCAAACAAAAGATATATACATATAATTTTTTTTATGTACAAAGAAAAAAAAAAAGCATTACAAATAATAAGATGATGAAAATTTTAAGTTTATTTCAGAATGCTTTTTAACAATATTCATGAGTTTCTTTCTTAAAAGTAATTAAGGGAGATTTCCTCGGGTATTCTTCATTGGGGGAGCCTTACTTCTTTGAAGCGAGACGTCGGGGCCATGCCTAGGCATGCGCCTCTGTGGACATTTTAAAACGCTTATTAAGCCACTAAATGAATTTCCCTTTTCTATGATTATACAAACTGGTTCTTCACGAAGTTACAACAAATAAATATTTAATTGCTTGCAATAAACAACACTACTGGACCTGAGAAACTGCAGAAAGAGGAACAATGCACGAAGGAAGGTAAAAGATTACCCAAGTGGAAAGGGCAAAAATTACCTTTGTTCTGAGTAAACCATGTGAGAATGTCGGAGCATAATAGTTCGACTTTACGACGAGAGTCCCGACCGCCCCACTCGTTTTCCACTGCCAATTGAAGAGCTGACCAACGAGATAAAACCAACCCGATGCCTTCCTGGAACAATGGCAAAGCACCAGCTGGGAGAAGGCGGTTTTCGCCACCTTCCATCTCTCCGCCTCCAAACGTAGAACCCTAAAACCCCAATTATCAAAGAGCAAGTAGAATAACAAGCGTAATCTTCTTGTCTGTCTATCTTATCATTATGTGAGCACATAACAAGGAACAAAACACATTTTCTTCCCCTTTTTAAAACTTTTAACGAAGAGAAGATTGCCAACCAAGTTAGGACTAATCGTGTGCCAAACAACGAAGTTGCTATAGTTTGACTGTTGTACAGAATTTCGGTATCTCAAAATAACAAGTTCACAATTGAAGAGATAATTTCATAAATAAATATGAAACGAAAGAGAGAGATTCATCGCGTAATTGCTCACTTCGAACCATGAGTGACAAACCAAGATCAAATGTAGAACAAATCTAGAACAAACATTCATTCAGCAAAGCAAGCCAAAAACAAACACATTATTAGGAACAAACCTTGAAACAGCTGAGAGCGCTGAATGAAATTGAGGGCGATGATCGATCGAAAGAGAGCTGCGATTGCGATTCAGAGGGCTTCACAACCGAGAAGATATGAGCTCGGCCCTATGCAGTTTACTTGGAGAAGAAAAGGGAAAATTGAATTTTAAACATGTGTCTACTTATTACACTAAAACAAAAAATAAATAATAAATAATAATAATCTCTCGAATATTTATTTATATTAAATACGTCTTCATATTTTCTTTCAAAATTCATAAATATATGGACCACAAAATTATTTAAATTTACATGATTCATTCATTTTTTAATAAAACTTTTTACAAACAAGTAAAAAATGACAATGACTAGAACAAAATAGTTCAAATGAAAACAATAATCAACGACATTAAATCACAATAATAATTTTAAAATTAAATAGAAAATATGAACCGTAGTTTTACAGTGGTTTGGTCAAATTCGACCTACTCCACTCTAGTGCCTCTTGAAAATTTGAATAAAGAACTTTTCCGACTCTCTCCAGAATCAAAACCCAACCGTCAGATATTATCTAATATATATATATATATATATTAAAAACCCCTAAATATCAATATTAACTTAATAAAGAACAAAATTAGTAATAATTTATTTGTACATTATCTTATGGATAATATACAATAATTATAATAAAATGTTTAATAAAAAACGAGATAAAAGCTTGTTATAAGCAATAGATTTTTGAATTAAAAAAATAGAATAAAGGCATAGAGGCAAACATAGAATGGGTCGAGATGTTTTGATGCGTATTTGAATTATGAATAAGAATAATAACTAATGTGCTAAATACTTTATTGAATTTGTTGTTCTCAATATTTAATAGAATAATAAATTATTATTGTTTTGAATGCGTATAATAAATTATGGTATATATTTTGAATATCTATTGGGTGAGCGTGTCAAATACAAACTCCAATAATCAAACCTAATCCTTGTTTTCATTGTATTTAAATTAAAATAAGTTAGATATTTTTATGTGGAAAATTAATTTATTTTTAATTTAAACTTTTTAAAATAATACAATTATATATAACATTTCATATTAATTAATTGAACGAAAACTAACATGTATTATCCTTTTAGAGGTCGAATGTTTAAATTCTCGTGCTTCACGGGTTGCATTAAAAAAAATTTAATATATAAAATATTAAAATAATAAAGCCAACAAAACCCAAAATTTAATTCATAAGAGATTTTTATTTATTTTTTATTTTTTATATTTATGTATAAAACTTTAAAATATCAATTTTAAATATTTAAATATATTTTATTTCATAATGAATTTTATGAGATCCAAGAGATAGCTATTCATATTTAAGTCCTTATTGTTTTTTCTTTTAATATTTTTATTTTTGAGAAAATGATAAACGTTAATTTAAATATATTTATTACTATTGACATTTATTCTATTAAAACACCATCTTAATAGAAATATTATGCATAATTATAATTATAAATTAAAAAACTAAATAATATTTACGTTTAAACAAAAAAATTTTTAAAAAAAATTATTTAAGCTTAAATTATAAATATAGTCATTAGATTTCGAGTTAATATTAAATTTTAAAAGATGTTTAATAAATTAATTAAGTCCATTATGTCATTAATATATTAAAAAATTAAATAAATTACCAGTATAGTCATTAAATTTATGTCGAGTTGATATTAAAATTTAAAAAATGTTTAATAAATTAATTAAATCTATTATGTCATTATTAACATACTAAAAAATTAAAATTAATTGTTTGATATAAATTTAAAAACTATGCTTTAGTTCATCTATGATAAAAAATTAAAATTATTAATGTGGTTATTATTAACGGTTTAATATATGATATTGATTATCGCATCAGCATTTCTTAATAATAATTCACGGAGTGGGTAGGATGAGAATATTAATTTTTTTTTTAAAGATGTTTTTGAAATTAGATTAAAAAAACAAACAAAAAAAAGTTTTAGCATGTGATAATTATTTAAAAAAAAACGAAATGTTAACAAAAAGTAATTATTTAGGTCAAAGTTTATATATATAGCAAAAAAAAAAAAAAAAATCCAAAAAATCATAGGAAAAGAATGGAATGGAAGGCGGTTTCTAAGCAAATTCGTATGGTTTAATTACATATATACAGAAACAAAATCTTCTCAAACCCTAACGATTGAATTGCATCTGAACAAGAAAAAGAAGAAAGAGAATTAGAAAACGAATGAAGAAATTACGATCTTCGCGTATCTTCAGATCAGCCGAATCGAGCGGATTCTATTCAGCCATGCACGTCCCTCTGTACGACAGTTCTCGAGTGCATCAAAACCTCTTCAAATTCCATTATCTTCCGTCTCGGCCGTCTAAGAATCTTCGACCAAAACCCTAGGTTATTATTCTTTCCACTATCGCTCTCTGTTCCTCGTCTCAATCTCGGCGCGAACGCCATCGATCTACTCTTTTTAAAGATCGAAGACGCCGAAAACACGAAAGCCTTACGGCGATCCGTATTGTAACCGTAAGGAGGATTCGGCGAAGAACAGGAAGAACAAGAGGAAGCAGAGGAGTAATAAGATGTGGAACAGGAAGAAGAAAGAGAATCGGAGACTTTACGTGACGATTTCGTGGAGACGATTTGCGAGAGCTTTTCGGCCAAACAGAGCGAGCAAACGCCGGGAGATTGGTGGTGCTTCGGATGCCGTTTGCAGCGGCGGCGATCGTCGTAGTCGGATTTGGATCTGTGAAAGTTCGCCATTGCGGAGGTCGTTTTTGGTGCTTGACAGGAATTGGGAATTTGAAATTTAAAGAACGCGGTATTATTGGTGAAAAGAGGAGTGAAGTTTCACGAGGGTTCATATGAGGCTTCTTCGGAACTTCTCCGAAACAGAGCGGCTTTGACGGCAAAAGTGTGACGTGGACAAATGGAGCGTTTTGATTGGATGATAGTTTTCGGGTGGGCTCCACTTCTCAATTCTTTTTTTTCATTTTCCGCCGCAATGGAAATGACCAAAACGTTTTTTATTTTCCGTGAAGGCGGCGTGGAAATTCAAAGCCCATTCAAAACGATGCCGTTTTGGGATTTCGATCTTCCTTGCTTGAGACCAAAGACAACTTTGAATTGGAATTTTTCAACTTCTTTTTGTTTCAAAAGAATTTGGATTTTTCAACCAAAAATATTTATTTTTTATTTTTTAATAAGATAAAAGCTTCACAAACTCGAGCATCAGATTCAAATCTTTTATATTTTTTACTTAGATATATATTATTCTTAAGTAACCATTAACGATACTTAAACCGCCCTCGTGTATAAAAGTTGACCGAATAGTGGACTGTTTATATATTTTTTACAATATATGATTTATCAACGTAATTAAGATTTATTAATTTCACACTATTTTTTAAATAATGCATATATAACAAATAACAAATAAATAAAATGTTGTGATTTTTTTTGTTTTTTACTATTATCTAGTATGCACTATTTTTCACGAACTAAAAATAAAAAAAATAAGAAATTACTAAAAATAAAATATGTTTGCATTTTTATTTATTTTAGGTCTAATTTAGAAATATATACAACCCATCCAACTCAAATAGTTTTTAATAAAATTAAGAAATATATATGAAAAAATAAATTAAAAAATATCGATATGGAATGAATTGATTTTTATTTAATGGGTCTGCATTTGAAACAAATTGAAAATTAAAAATTACAAGTTTGTTATTATTATTATTATTATTATTATTATTTTAAGTTAAGACCTAACTTCAATAAAATCATATATATATTTTTTTAATGGAGACTAATAAAAATCAAACCTAGGACTTCTGCTTAGAAAACGCTCTATCAACTGAGCTACAAGCGCCGAGCACCAAGCACCAATAAATAAAATCGCGACAAATAGGGGTCAAGCCTATGACTACCACCAACATATAAAGGTTGTCAATGGTCGAGAGATGCACATACATACAAAGGCATCCAAAAATAAAATCGCACCAGGTAGGGGTCAAACCTACGACTTTCTACTTGGGAAACAGACGCCATATCCACTGAGCTACAAGCGCCAAGCACCAATAAATAAAATCGCGCCAAATAGGGATCAAACCTACGACCACCAACATACAAAGGTTGTCAATGGTCGAGAGATGCACAAAAACGCGCCAGGTAGGGGTCGAACCTACGACTTTCTGCTTAGGAAACAGACGCTCTATCCACTGAGCTACAAGCGCCAAGCACCAGTAAATAAAATCGCGTCAAATAGGGATCAAACCTACGACCACCAACATACAAAGGTTGTCAATGGTCGAGAGATGCACAAAAACACGCCAAGTAGGGGTCGAACCTACGACTTTCTGCTTAGGAAACAGACGCTCTATCCACTGAGCTACAAGCGCCAAGCACCAGTAAATAAAATTGCGTCAAATAGGGATCAAACCTACGACCACCAACATACAAAAGTTGTCAATGGTCGAGAGATGCACAAAAACGCGCCAGGTAGGGGTCGAACCTACGACTTTCTGCTTAGGAAACAGACGCTCTATCCACTGAGCTACAAGCGCCAAGCACCAGTAAATAAAATCGCGTCAAATAGGGATCAAACCTACGACCACCAACATACAAAGGTTGTCAATGGTCGAGAGATGCACAAAAACGCGCCAGGTAGGGGTCGAACCTACGACTTTCTGCTTAGGAAACAGACGCTCTATCCACTGAGCTACAAGCGCCAAGCACCAGTAAATAAAATCGCGTCAAATAGGGATCAAACCTACGACCACCAACATACAAAGGTTGTCAATGGTCGAGAGATGCACAAAAATGCGCCAGGTAGGGGTCGAACCTACGACTTTCTACTTAGGAAACAGACGCTCTATCCACTGAGCTACAAGCGAAGCACCAGTAAATAAAATCGCGTCAAATAGGGATCAAACCTACGACCACCAACATACAAAGGTTGTCAATGGTCGAGAGATGCACAAAAACGCGCCAGGTAGGGGTCGAACCTACGACTTTCTGCTTAGGAAACAGACGCTCTATCCACTGAGCTACAAGCGCCAAGCACAATAGGGATCAAACCTACGACCACCAACATACAAAGGTTGTCAATGGTCGAGAGATGCACAAAAACGCGCCAGGTAGGGGTCGAACCTACGACTTTCTGCTTAGGAAACAGACGCTCTATCCACTGAGCTACAAGCGCCAAGCACCAGTAAATAAAATCGCGCCAAATAGGGATCAAACCTACGACCACCAACATACAAAGGTTGTCAATGGTCGAGAGATGCACATACATACAAAAGGCATCCAAAAATAAAAACACACCAGGTAGGGGTCGAACCTACAACTTTCTGCTTAGGAAACAGACACTCTATCCACTGAGCTACAAGCACCAAGCACTAGTAAATAAAATCGCGCCAAATAGTGGTCAAACCTACGACCACCAACATACAAAGGTTGTCAATGGTCGAGAGATGCACATACATACAAAGACATCCAAAAATAAAAACGCGCCAAGTAGGGGTTGAACCTACGGCTTTCTGCTTAGGAAACAAACGCTCTATCCACTGAGCTACAAGCGCCAAGCACCAGTAAATAAAATCGCGCCGAATAGGGGTCAAACCTACGACCACCAACATACAAAGGTTGTCCATGGTCAAGAGATGCACTACACCAACATACAAAGCATAAAAAAATAAAATGATCCAAAAGTAAAATCACACCAAATTGGGGTCGAACCTACAACTTTCTACTTAGGAAATAGACACTCTATCCACTGAGCTACAAGTGCCCATGGTTGAACTAGTGGTCAAGAGATGTACCAACATACAAAAGTTGTCGTCAATGGTAAGAGATGCACCATACCAACATACAAAGGCATCCAAAAATAAAATCACGCCAAGTAGGGGTCAAACCTACGACTTTCTACTTAGGAAACAGACACTCTATCCACTAATGCTACAAGCACCGTGCACCATTGGTCAAGAGATGCACTACACCAACATCCAAAAGCATCAAAAAATAAAATCGGTCTAAGAGATGCACTACACCAACATACAAAGGCATCCAAAAATAAAATCAGTCAATCACATCCGGTAGGGGTCGAACCTACAACTTTCTGCTTAGGAAAAAAATGATCGATCCATAAATTACAAGCCCCAAGCAACAATAAATAAAAACACGTCAGAAAGGGATCAAACATACAAAGGCATCCAAAAATAAAATCACATCTGGTAGGGGTCGAACCTACAACTTTTTGCTTATGAAAAAAATGTTTGATCCATAAGTTACAAGCCCCAAGCAACAATTCAGAAAGGGGTCTCAAACCTACGACCACTAACATACAAGGTTGTCAATGGTCTAGAGATGCACATACATACAAACCTACGACTTTTTAATTTAGAAACAACACCTTACCTCTAAGTTACAAGCACCATGCACCATTGGTCCGAGATGCACTACACCAACATACGAAGACATCCAAAAATAAAATCAAGCCAAGTAGGGGTGAACCTACAACTTTCTACTTAGAAAACCTGAGCTACAAGCGCCAATTGTTGAGCTAGTGGTCGAGAGATTCATCGCACCAACATACAAAGGCGTCCAATAATAAAATCGCGCCAAGTAGGGGTCGAACCTACGACTTTCTGCTTAGGAAACAGACACTCTATCCACTGAGCTACAAGCGCCAATGGTTAAACTAGTGGTCGAAAGATGTACCAACATACAAAGGTTGTCACCAATGGTCGAGAGATGCACCACACACCAACATACAAAGGCGTCCAAAAACAAAAATAAAATTGCACTAGGTAGGAGTCAAACCTGTGACTTCTACATAAGAAACAAACACTCTATCCACTAAGCTACAAGCGCCAATGGTCAAAGGCATTGGTTGAGAGATCCACCAACATACAAAGGCGCCCAAAAATAAAATAAAATAAAATAAAGTAATGCCAAGTAGGAAGATGTAGTCATGAAATAGACACTCTATCTACTAAGCTACAAGCACCAATGGTCAAGAGAATGGTCAAGAGATGCACCTACACCAAGATATAAAGGTGTCCTAGGTAGAGGTCGAACCTAAGACATATGAACTAATGTTAAAAACCTTGCTAAAAAAATAAATAAAGTTGCACCAAATAAGAGTCGAACCTACAACTTTCTACTCACGAAAAGTGTCTTAACCTAACTTTTGTTCAAAACATTAAGCCAAACTTATTAAGCACGAAGTGAAAGCCTTTTGAACTAAAATCAAGTACACAAGAAATAATGTATTAGGACATAACGAAATGATATAATTCAAAATTGAGAAAATCAAATAAAAACTGAAACCCAAACTTTGAACTAAAATCAAGTACACAAGAAATAATGTATTAGGACATAACGAAATGATATAATTCAAAATTAAGAAAATCAAATAAAAACTAAAACCCAAACCCAAGTCCAACAAAAGATTATACGAAGGAGGCCAAACTATAATTGATTATGTTTACTCAAATGAAACTATGTCTAAGACGAGTCAAGCAAAGGTTTGATTCTCTAGCTGAGTCAACGACAACTATACCTATTGTAGTTTGACGTCTGTTTAGAAATGTAGTCATTAAATATATGTTTTAAGTAAGTTATATTTAAAATAGACATGCCCTTAACTTGACCATGTCAATAGAATTCGCAGATGTCAGGTGTGAGCTTCGAAGATGTAGTCAAAAGTGACTCAAATGTCGAACAAAATATGTACTTTGTTCGAGGACTCCAAAGAAAGGAGTCGAGCCTCGATTAAAGGGAGGCAGTTTGAGGGCTACATTAAGACTCAAGAAAGGCTCTATGGTGTACTTTGTTCGAGGAGAGGATTGTTGAGGAT